GAGCCTCCTGACTAGTGCAACTCTGCCATGCAGTTTAATTACTTACACAAACGTTTAAAATATGAACATATTATATATAATTTAACTTGGTGCCCACTGTCTTACATCACATACGCCCCATGGCTGCACCCCTAGTCTGAAAAGGACCTAAGTAAGTGTGGCTCACATCATGCTCACAAATTTCAATAAACCACAGAGGGAGTTCCAAAGTCACAATCCCTGAATCCAGCCAACAGAGCCTAAGAGATCAACTCTAATTGCACCACAGTAGATCTCAATTACCAAAAAGGCAATGGGAAAAATGCAGACAGACAATCTCTAAGGTAACCACATCCAGAACATTCAAGGCCTTAATTAGGTTAAACAAAAGATTAAACTATACTCAGAAACAAACTGGAAGCCATTGGAGAGCACTAGTATAATGAGCTCACATTCTTTCCTGCTTAAAAGGCAGAAAAAACAATTTTCCATTAGTCAAAGCTCCAAGTGTCCTTCAAGACTGCTCAACACATACAATGGTAGTGAAGTAGAAGAGAAAAATGAATGGAAACTGTAGCAAGGTCTGCATCAAAAAGAAGAGACCACAGTTGCTTGGCTAGCCAAAGAACATTCAGAGCTGCTAACCAGAAGCAGTGATGGATCTAGTAAAATACTGAGAAATTATGAATTGCTTTGACAATAGACAGGCATACCTCAACAAACAGAGCACACAACCCCTGCCAAATCCTCCAGATGTTTCCCCGCTACTAACGAGCATCATTTCCATCTTATCTGGACTGACCCTAAGTCAACTTGTTTTCATTCATATGCTGGGAAAGTAATAGACTACATAATATAGCTCCAGCGAAAGAAATGCAGCGCTGGAGATTTATGGTGTTTTGATTTGTCAGAACCAGAAGTCTGGAAAATCTGGATACTTTTGGCTAGATGTAACCCTTTGCTAAACACTGGGCACCATCAGTGATAAAATCTTTCAGCCTAAAACTTTCAAACCACTACAGTTGGCTCCCCTTTTGTTAGGTTTATTTTATAGCAATGAATTTTATTAGAATTTAGAGCCGCTTTTAAGTGAAATTATATATTTAAAAATAATACAGGAAAAATACTTGATGAAAGTAGTTTTAAATGCAAATTGCAATTTTATACACATATGGAAAAGTTGCTATTGGTCTCATTCCATGTATTTTAAGTCAAGCAGATCAATTTTAAACATCTGCTGCTAGCGCTGAGTCTGGCTCTCAAATTTAATACCTTGAATAATGTAATCACAATTAATCATATCATAAAATCATGTAGCAAATGAGCTTTCTAAGGCCCCAGTCCACCAAAAACATGCACACGGGCTTAAAATTAAGCACAAAAATATCCCATTGACTTCACTGGCACTACTTGCAAGTTTTAAGTTAAGCCGGTCTGTAAGGCTTTGTGCAATCACTACCTAAGAGAATTATTCAATATAATATAGCTGTGTCATGTCTCTCCTGCTCTACCACACCCAATCATCAGTGTTTCCACATTTTAATGGGATAAAAAAGATATGTAATCAATTTAGTATTAAAATGGAAACATACCTCCTTCAGAAACTGTTCAAACTGCTCATCTAGTTCTGCTTTTGAAAATCGATGAGCCATAGTCAGCAATCTTAACTTCCAAAACAGTTCAATTACTGGAAAATACTAAAATTAAAAATAATGCAGTAAATGAGGCAGTGCTTTTGAAATCATAAACAACCTCGTAATTTCCTACTAGCTTTTCATGCAGGAAACATTAAAAGTTATCTACCAAGACTAAATTATACCACATTTGCCCCAAATACTGTATTTACTGCAAACAAAGGTCCAAGCACCACATCTGAATTGCCTAGATTCCCTAGAATCATAGACATAAATACCAACAGGACTGATTAAGCCCTTAAAATTTGTGAGGTTGATAAAATAGGAACTTCTTCTCATCCTTCATTTTCCTCTTCAAAATGCAGCTCTTCCACCAACGTTATCAGGAAGGAAATGTTTCATTTATAACGAAAGGGAGAAAAACACCATAAACATCAGTTTGCATCTATACCATATACACTTGCACAGTGCTGGATGTATTTTAATTGTTAACTGTTTGTTTTCCAAAATTGTGAACACTCTGGGGCAGGGAGACTTTCTCTAGAGTCTGTCCAGCACTGAGCACACTGCTAGAGCATAACAAATAAATAATGATTTAATCCATGGAAGTCTTTCAGGTTAGCTCTTAAAGACAGAAATTCTGTCTGCTCTGCATTCACATAGAAAAGTCAATAGTGCTTTTTGTAAAGGGAGGATTTATGTTGGTTTTTGAGAACAAATATTCCCCAGCTTCTCAACAGCATGCAGCTTTTAGGTATCTCCCTGCAGACTCGAAGTGCCTGTTTTACAGTGGTGCCATATATAGTTTTGAAGTACTCTGGAATCCTTCAGAACAAGAAGTGATATAATAAATTCAAAATAGATTAAGGGTTTGCAGATAAGGTTTTACTATTAAATATGAACTTTTTCAAGTATAGATCCTTGTCAGAACATAGAACTGTTACCTAACTAGTAAACTGATTTTGGCAGGCGAGTTCTGATAACTGTTTCCTGCTTTAACTCTTACTTTATCCAAAGACTACCCAACACTTTGGCAGTACTAAAGAAAATTGCTGCAAAGACTGCCCAGTCTTTGAATTAAATAAGATACCCCTATGTAAGCACTTGGAAAGAGTCTTAAAAAAAACACACTAAGAGGATTAACAATGTGACCTCTCATGACACTCATAATCCAGTATGATTTTATATTTTTACAACAAGAAGTCTTGTGAGCTGTGACATTTTAATGTTACTACCTATGCCAATGGCTTAAGCAAGTGGAGAATATTTATTTGCAAGCTTGCTAAGAAAAAATGAGTCCTGATCTTCTTCTTACATTTTACCGTGGTTTCCTGTGCATTACATACATCTATACACACAGATTTCTTATAAATATTTACATTGCATCTTATAAAATTTCATCTGATGTTTTATTTTTCAAAAAGTTTTTTTTAAAATCAGTTGACATCCATTTGCCCACAGGTAATGCCAGTTATTAACTAAAATCAAGCACATGCTTCCTGAAAAGACTTTAGGCAAGTTTCACCCTTAATAAGAAATAACCTTATATAATTGTCTTTAATGTAGAAGGATCCCAAAGCGCTTTGCAAATAATATATACACACACAATATCACAAAATGCAGCCATTTCTGGAAATGAAGTGTGGTTGCCTGGCAGCACACTGCATCATTGCAGGAAGGGGAAACTTTGGCTAGAAGATTATTAAAAGCCTTTTTCTCATGGCAAATGCCATAATAATATCTAATATCTCATATGAAAAGACACACAGAATAGACTTCCTAGAACTCAAGTTTATCTTCCCAGGAATGATGGAAAACTGACTTAACCCCACTGGGATTTGAAGCTGTGATCATAGAATCATAGAATATCAAGGTTGGAAGAGACTTCAGGAGGTCATCTAGTCCAAACCCCTGCTCAAAGCAGGACCTTTTTGGTGGTGGTTGTTGTTTTTTCACTGCCTTGGCACATGGTTATGTTACTATTAATCCAAAAATATCACCAAAGGAGTCACACTCTTCAAACAGATAGAGTCTGTTTTTATATTTTTATAAGACTTAATAGAAACATTTGCATAACTTGTATTTTATACTGTTTTGTGTTTGAATTCACACATTCCTGAAATCCAAACTCATCATCAGTGAACTAACATTTGAAAGCCATGAACTGCACAGTCTATTTCCAATGCCTCAGTTGAATAAACTGCAGGAAGTAAACAGCAACAATGGTAATAGGTGAATGGGATGTTGAAAATCTATTCAGTTTAAAGTGATCAGGAGGGCTGTTAATGGACTGCACAAGTGGGGAAGAGTTCACTTTTCAAACGCATGAAATTTAGTCTTATGCTGGGGGAGGGGAGTGTCAGTGTCCCTTTAGTCTAAATCTGGCCCTTCCTATTTATTTCGCTTTTTAAAAGGTTCCCACTCAGCATGGTGGGTCGATCTGCAGCCTTTATACACCATTCCAACAGGACGCAAGAGGCAGAGCTCAGCAGAAGAAACTCCCAATCTCCAGGTGAACAGACGCCGAGGCCCTCAGCGTGCCCAGGAGGCACTAGGCCCAGAGCATCAGGAAAGGCGGGCTTAGCCGCAAGCCCCCCCGGCGATCGCCCTGTGGGCAAGTGGGCCTCTCTCTACCCCCGGGCCAAGGCAGGGCAGCGGCGTTTCAGGCAGCAGGTCTCCTGGCTTCCCAGGGCAGGCGCACGCCGGAGCGACCCCGGCCCCCGCCCAGGGCACAGCCTCGGGCGAGCGGGGTGGGACAGGGCTCCCGCAAGGGCCGCGCGCACAAGTTTGTCAGTCGCAGCTGGAGCTCTGTTGTTGGGCGCCCAGAGGGTGCCGCCTCCGGCCGGCCACCTACCTCCCTGCCCGGGCCAATCCAGGCCGAAACGCCGGCAGCCGCTCCCCTTGAAAACCGGTAGGTTTGTCTCAGGCGCCGGAACTAGGTTACCTAGGTAACAGACCTAGCTCAGGTCGGCCACCGTAGTTCCCGCGACCAACGGCCAGGCTCAGCGGCAGCGGTCACATGACGTCTTCCTCGGGCTCGTAGAGGATCACGTGAGGAAGCAGGTCCCGCGGCTGCCATTGCTACCGAGGCAAACTCGGCTCGGCCCCACCCTGCAGCCTAGTGGGGGCATCAGCGCCTCTAGTCTCCCCGTCCTCCATTAGCCGGTCTGACCGAGGGGGGCTGCCACGAACCTAGGTGGTCACGTGATCTAATTCCCCTCTCTCCATGTCGTGCAGTAGCCCTTGGGCGTCACGTGACCTGTGCGTGCCCACGCCCGCCAGGCGGAGTGGAGGGATTGAGCGAGGGGGAAAGGGGAACAGCGCCCCCTGCCACAGGGAGGAGCGGGGCGGGTGGGCGGAGCAGAGAGTAGACGGGAGGGCGGCTGGGGCGCGAGGAGCTGCCCCGCCCCCTCCGCCATCGCCCCCTGTGCGGGACGCCCGGGCCCCCCGCTACAGCCATCTGCCGCCGCGGCGCTCGCGGGTGGGAGGGTGACGCGGGGACTGCGGCAGGGGCGGCCCGTGCGAAGGCAGCGGGGCGGGCTGGGCCCGGCCCTAGAGTTCATCCGAGCCGCTTGCTCTACAGGTGTTCGCTGTCGTCCCGGCCGGGGCAGCGGGGCTACGGCACCCACAGGGCCGGGGAGCGGCTTGGGCTCGCTACCAGCGCCAGGCCGCTTCCCTCCCCCGCCAAGGGAAAGGGGCTAAGGATGAGTCGTGACATGTCAGTCACAAAACCAACCGCCCCCCACAACAAAATGGACTTTTTCCTTTGTTGCTAAAACTGCCCCTTTAACGAGCGTATACAATTGTTATGACTGAGCAATAATATAACTTGAGTCTGTTACAGTGCGAATTTAAAATCTTTTCAAAATAGAACAGTTTGGTATTTTTAAGTGTCTGTTCCTGCTACTGAAACTTGAACCAGGGGTGTCATAAGAGGGTGAAGTTGCCCCCTCTAGACTTTGGTTCCTCACCCCAACACCCAGTCTTTTCATAGGTCTGCATGCTCCACTCCCCCCCACAACTTTGCAGCTGTAATCACATAAGTTCTATATGCTGATACACCTTTGCCTCTCCCCCTCAAATGTTTCTGAAATGATGTCCCTGACTTGAGTCCTGCATAATGACAAAATAATCAGGTTTTATACGACTGTCCTGCATGGGAATATGAAATCTGTTCCCCCATCTGAGGGCAGTGCTCCCTGTACTGCTGGGGTGAATGTGGTCCTCAGCAGGAAACTGAAATCTGGTTTTGGTTGAAGATGTCCATCATGCACATAGCTATTTGTATCATTATAGCGTAGCTCATAAATGCACTACTGGGCTTCTGGCAATTATCCCTTATCTTAAGCAAGATTTGTTTAAAAAAAAAGGCAAAAAACCTAGAGTACTAAATGGCATTTGTAAAATACATGAAAAAGGTTCAGATATTTAGCCTACCAACTTCCACACTGTTCAATTAAAGAAGACTGTCGTACCTCACTGAGAAACTCTACGGGGCTTACACTGACCCAAAAAGATCATGGCTGGGAACCAGTAGAGCTGCCTGAGGTCACAGAAAATTTGGTTGGGCTTTCTGAGACTTACTGTCTGAGACATCCTGCTGCTAAGCATAGGTGTAAGGGAGGGCAGGCACTGCAGGAGGACTATTGGCAAATGAATAAAAAGCAGGCAGTGTTCAGAGACGGCATCTGAGAATTGTGAATAGATGGGTTTTGGCACAGATGCTCTGATGTCACCTCTAAAAGCCGCTCCATCTATCTCTCCTTGTTTCAGCAGGGTCAGAGTTGGTGGTCCTTTGGCAAATCTTGTTATCTAGGCTGCCTGAAGCCAGAGGCTGGAACTGAGCAGCAGGAACAGAGATACAGGACTTTAGCTTTGTTTTTCATTCCATTGCTGGCAGTTCTTCTAAGTACAGAAAGTTTACTGTTCTTTTTGTTCCTTTATTCCAGAAGCTGTGCTGGAGCCTGTGGATGGAATACTCAGCCAAAATGGAATTTAGTGTACAGTTTTTCATTCAGTTGCCATTTCAGGTCTCAGCTGAGACCCTCATTGCTGCCATTCAAGTCAACTTCTGGGACTAATGTGATGGCCACTTCTAACCAAAGAGCTGTTAGTCAAAAGGTATGAGAGACATATCACTTAAAAAATTACTCTGCTAATATTTAGCAAAAAATAAAAGAGTACTTTTCTTGGTGCCAGTAATGACAAGAACAAGCAACCCCTTCTTGCATTCACACACAATCCCTTTCTAAAACTTTTCCAACATTTCTGCTTCAAAGTGTGGTTACTTTGTTTTAAATACATTTTAGCACATATCTGCAAATGTTTAAAATATTCCAGAAATTAATGACCCCTGTCTCCTTGACCACTGACTTTCAAATAGCTTCAGAACAATAGCAGTCTGTGCTTGCATATGCTGTCCAGCCTAAGGGCTGTCAATTGTGTTTGTTGTGAGAGTCACGTTGCTTTAGGAATTTTTATGCCAGTATATAGTAAATGGTAAAATATAACAAAGGTCACTTACGAATATAAATACACATTATTCACACACATGCATTCTGGTCCTCTCTGCTGAAAACTCTTGAAACCAAAAGATTTTTGTAAGGCAGTTTTCTTCAAAGAGCACTAATACTGCATACCAAGTTGCATATGTAGGGCCATTTATAGCATTTCATCTACATGCACAACTGCTGTTGACAGTCATGGGAAATGTGCAAGTCAGGCTAGGACAGTATATGGCCTTAAGAGTTAATATATTAACTCTTAACACAACCACAAGTTTGTTAAACATGACAACATCCCTTCATAAAGCTGGCAGAAATATCAGTGTCCAGCATTTGCTCTTTTCCCTCCTTGTATAAGAAAGTATAATTTGAGACAGAGCATCTGAAGATAAAACAAATTAATTAAGAGACTGCCCTCTAACAAATACATGGTTTGAGCCTGTTCCAATTTAAGCCAATGTGAGTTTTGCTATTGACTTCAGTGGGATCAGGCCCATAGTGATGAACGTGACATCATTCATTGACAGTGGGAGTTATTTCATTAGCAATCAACTACATAAGCCTACAGCGCTACAGGCTGCTGAACAGTGTTGCAAGCTAAGCAATGATGTTAACTTCCCTGTTTGCTTAATATCTGTTCAGCAAGGCTCCCACGTAGTGTGGAAAAATGTCCGTTGGGCTCAGCACTGTGGAAACCTGAGCCCACATGATGATGGAGATGAGAGAAAAGGTATACCCTGGCTTAGATGATTAAATGGTGTGAATACTAATGTTCCCACTTACCATATAAAGGATTTTCATTTCCTTCGAACAGCAACCAGTTGCAGCCACATTCTCGAGGGCATGTAACTGCAGTATTTAACAAAAACAGAGAGCAGGGGTAGCCATGAAGATCAGCATGTCTGAGGGTTCTAAGAAAATAGAGTTCTCTATCCACTGTGATATACACTTTGGCAGGAGTGAGTACCAATTAATAGGATGAAATTCTGCCCCCACTGATGGCAAAGCTCCTATTGATTTAATCAAAGTCAGGATTTCACCCATGTAGTTCAGTGATGGCTTTTTTATACATATACCTTTTCCTTAAGATAGCTGAAGTGTATGGCTTCATATATTATAACAACAGTGTCAAACTATTGACTATAAAATTAAAAGTATGGATATTTTATACTTTTTGTGTAGAAAAAAGTTCAAATAAAAAGTCTGCTGCATCTACTTTGGCCGACACATCGGATTAGATAGTGTTTCAGTACTGAACTTGCAAATATGTGAAATAGGAGATTATGATAATAAATATTTAGCTATATTCTTAGTTGTGTTTTTTTTTTAAAGGTTAACAATTTCATACTGGATGAAAAGTAAACAAACAGTGGTGAATTAAGAACTTTCTTTAAAACTTATTCTCTGTTCATGCCCACTGTAATAACACTTCCTTACATGACTGTGTAACAAAAATACCAAAGCTCATGCTCAAATAAATTGGTTAGTCTCTAAGGTGCCACAAGTACTCCTTTTCTTTTTGCGAATACAGACTAACACGGCTGTTCCTCTGAAACCTGTCAAAAATACCATAGTGTATGCATCAGAAAAAGAAAGAGCTTGCCGTACAAGTTGTATAGAAAACAAAATTTGTTGTAGCTGTATGGAAGAAATGTTATAAGATGAGAAAAATCATCTAACAGTTAAATGGCAATAATTTATTTGTGACATCTTAAAACTAGATATAATTGTTGTCAGCTTAAAAATGCAATGACTTTTTTTTTTAAGAAGTTCGCATTTTTGTTTCACTGTAGCCCTTATAGTGACCTACAAATAATAAATGATAAGCCTGAGTCTTCAAAATCCAAGACACCAAATTTATCCTTAGGTAGTATAAATTTTGTAGCTCCATTAAATTTAGCATCTCTCCCATTCCCTCACTACCTCTCTTCTCTCTTGTTCAATCATTGCCCTAGTTAATAATTCAATTCTGCATGGTATTTAAGATTATGCTGAGGGCTTAAAATAGCTGGTCTAGACTGTGACTCATACTAATGTCCCATGGACTGAGCTACAACTTTAGGAGCCAATCCCACAAGGCGCTGAGTACTCTGAACCTCCATTGGTTCATTGTCCACTGGTTTCAGGCTCTCATGCTTACAAGCTTGGTATAGTGGTAACTTCAATTAGTGGAGAAAGATCTCGCTGTTAAGAGCTCTCACCTTCGGCAAACCTTGGCCAAATCCTGGTTTCCTCGCAGGAGTAGTCCCTTTGGAGTCAAGAAAGGTTAACATGGATCTGGCTCATCATCTCACTTGTATCACCTCACATTGCAGCTCCTTGTTTCTCAATTGGAATGCTCAGCAACTTGCAGGCAGAATCAGTGCAGTCCAGAGGACTAGGACCATAGAGTCTCATTGTCCAAGATGATTCCTCTGTTACTCATTTTTAAAAGTTTCCTTTTTACCATGAGCCTCAGCTATAAATAATTTTCTCCTTTGTATGAAGAATGTTAGAGAAAAAGTATTGTGGTAAATGTTTTTGTGTATGTGAACGCATGTATGTGAATTAGAAAAGATATTAACCACGTAGAGCAGAAGGATCACAAGTAATAATGAGTAAAAATTAAATATGTTAATACCAAAATTAGATCTATACAATCTTTTGTTAATCCTGGCATCTCCTAATGCTGGCAGAAATACTTGGTTTGCATTTCAGATTTTCACTTGGTTATTTTTAGTTCTTCCGAAGCCTGGGAAATAAGAAATATAACTGCTTTGAACAGTCTGAAAGAGCCAACTATAGCACGGCCTCTGAATCTGATTAGATAAAACAACAAAGAGGTTCTGTAAGGGCAGAGGCAGGAAGAACTAAGGTGGGTGGCAATATCTGTCATAACTCAGGGGAAATGTAACCTCAAAGCACTCAAAAGTGGGTGAAAAAAACAACATAAGCAATAGACAACTTTCCCACATCTTAGGTCACTCTCCAAATGCAGTTTGAAGAATTTTCTTTGCACTCAACTTTTTTTGGGGGGTATTTTAAAGTACAATAAACACCACATGAATGTGTGTTTATCTTAAAAAGCTTATTGAGGGGAACATCGTTTTTCTGTATCTATCACTGCCTTAGTAACTTAATTGCTTGAAATTAATAAGGCCAGTGCACTTACTGTTTCAGGAACAAAATTTAAAAAATCCAGATTATGTCCAAATCGCATTATAATTATAGAATAGCTCATTTAAAAATCACGTTCCTTCAGGATTACCCAGTAGTTCCCCCCCACAAAATGTTACCAGGGATAATATTTTGTCATATTTTAATTTCACTTGCTGAATAACACAAGATGTTATGTTTAATACAACTAGGAGGTCTTCAGGATTTGATTTAAAAATGGTGAGCTGGTATTAAAACTGGAAGAACTTGGAACACCTACCTGGCCAATAAACTCTTTTCTTTTCATTTCTTTTCTTTTCCAAATAGTTCTTTTAGGTCGCAAGCTCCATTAAAGTGAGGAGACATGACGGACCTGTCCATCCTAGCCTTATATCTAATAAAAATGTTTTCAAAGCCAGTTTAGCACATCCACAGTGTTATGATTTGTCTCCATTAGAGGGCTGAACCACTTCATGTTTAAAAACTGCAACTAAGCGTTTCTAGCATGGTTTAGGGACCACAGCCCACTCTCATGGTGTTTTGTAAGTATTCACTCAAACCATTGCTATACCGCCTCATTGTGGCACCTCTCTTTAATTCCAGGCATGCCTTCCTTGGAATAGATACAGAGAATGATGGTGAATACAGATGTACATAAAATATGTATTTGTACCTGTTAACATTATACTGTATTTGGTTTGTTCCAATGGCCTTGCCCTAACCGCAGATTCACATATATGTTCTGAGGGTTAAGGGCTATGCCCTCACACAAATATATGCAGATGAAATGGCAGTCACTGTCTGCTAGACATAGTGGGCTTGAAAGGCCTCAGATACCATCTACAGGTGCTCTAAGTGATAAAATTCATGTTTTTATTCTTTTTATAATCCTTTGTAGAATGTTTATCATTGTAATTGAAGCCAATGGGAGTTAAGTATGTTTAGAACCCTCCAGGAAATGGTCTCATGTGCCTAACCAGTGACTTTTGATGAATATAGTGTCATTTGTACTACAGTTTGGTGTAGAAGAAGGGGGATCTGAGCACCAGAGTTCAGGGTTGAAATCCTGGCATGACTGGAGCCAGTGGGAGCTATTGAGTTCAGTGGGGCCAAGCTTTCACCCCAGATTTCTGGAAAAAAGCTTGCTGCAGCTACAAAACTGATTCTTGCTCATTTTACTGTGTAGTTATAATTGAATAGAATAATTTTTGGGATTTAAAGGTAGTTACCTTGCTAATGCATTATTTGCTTTGCCATATGCTATGCTAGATTTTTAGAATAATTTTTTTGGAAAGGACATCAGTGTATATGCCAGGAGCCTGACTTAACTTCTTACCAATAATCTATTCTGCAGTTTTCCTCCTTTCATGTCTATTATAAATAGTATCTCTGAACAAAATGTCTTGTCATTGGTATTTCAAGAAGACTGAAAACAGTCAGCGTGAAAGAACTTGAGCAGAAAATTAATTCTGATTACTTTTTTCACTCAAGCTTTTGCCTCATTATAATTTCACTATAACTTCATCTGCTCTGTGTGTGTGCGCACATGCACTTGTGTATGTTTAAACTGTATTATTGGGTTCAATCTTGAATTCCTGGACAAGGGACACAGGGTTGGGCCTGCGTATAAAGAGGAAAGAAAATCTGTAAATGAAAAATCAAAACGAAACGGTTACAAATATATGCCCGAATTCTTCAAGATGATCCATGTTGGTATATTCCCAGTCTAAACACAGTAGGGAGTGAGCAAGGCTTAGCTAGTGAGAGACTGGATAGGTGGCAGTGGGCAGACCTGTAAACTGGAAGGATCATGCCTCCCCAAACTGATTGCACCTTACTGAGATTCTTGTGCAACACCAGGAAACCTGTGAAGTGATGTTGTCATAAATATAAAGGGAAGGGTAACCACCTTTCTGTATACAGTGCTATAAAATCCCTTCTGGCCAAAGGCAAAGTCTTTTTACCTGTAAAGGGTTAAGAAGCTCAGGTAACCTGGCTGGCACCTGACCCAAAGTGGCCAAAGAGGGGACAAGATACTTTCAAATCTGGAGGGAGGGGAAAAGGTTTGTCTGTCTGATACCTTTTACGGGAACAAATCAAGGATGCAAGCCCTCCAACTCCTGAAAAGTTAGTAAGTAATCTAGCTACAAAATGTGTTAGGTTTTCTTTGATTTGGCTTGTGAAATTCGCTGTGCTGGAGGAAACGTGTATTCCTGTTTGTGTGTCTTTTTGTAACTTAAGGTTTTGCCAAGAGGGATTCTCTGTGTTTTGAATCTGACTGCCTGTAAGATTATCTTCCATTCTGATCTTAGAGTTGTTCTCTTATCTTTTTTCGTTCTTCTAATAATTTTCTGTTTTTTAAGAATCTGTCTGGGTTTTTTGGGTCTTACAAATCCAAGGCTGGTCTGTGCTTATCTTGTTTATTCTCAAGGTTCCCCAGGAAAGGGGGTGTAAGAGTTTGACGGGATATTTTGGGGAAACAGGAACTCCAAGTGGTCCTTTCCCTGATTGATTGTTAATCACTTGGTGGTGGCAGCGTCTACCTAATCCAAGGGCAAAGACTTTGTGCCTTGGGGAAGTTTTAACCTAAGCTGGTAGAAATAAGCTTAGGGGGTCTTTCATGCAGGTCCACACATCTGTACCCTAGAGTTCAGAGTACGGAAGGAATCCTGACAGATGTAAATGCAGGAGAGCTATTATGAGTCTGGTTTTTGTGCAATGCAGCCTGAAATGTAGGGAGATTCCCTATCTCTCTGTTGGGGAGCAATAGCTTTTAATCAGTTGAAGGTAGCTGTTACATTATAAGGAACATTCTTTGCCCTGTCTCTCATGAAGATTTAGGTCCCAGTCCCTCAGGTCTAGGAGAACTGCACTTGGTACAGAACTGGAAGCTGGGGGGCATCAAAGGTGGCTGTAGTCCAGCTCTGTGCTCCCTGATCCCCAGGGCTGCCAGGGACTGGTTCAGCCATCTGATGTAAGTTAGAACAGCATCAGGGCTGCCTGCACTGCCCCTACCCTCCCTGGCCCATGACTAGGGTAACCAGAGGTCTCATTTCTAAAAGGGACAGTCCTGTATTTAAGCCCTCCTGGTAGCGTCTCCTGACTTTTTATTAAAAATGGGTAAATTGTCCTTATTTGCTGTCTCTCCCGCCCCATCAGTACTGGTGGGTCCTGCTGCTGGCCAGATCCCTGCTCACCAGCTGCTTGCTTACCAGGGGTTAGTGGGGGGGTCCAGTGGCCAGTAACGGGGGTGGGTGTGCCAGGCTGTTTGTGGGGTGAACGTGCAGTGCGCGGGGCTGGCCACTGCCCCTGCTGGACCATAAGCACAGCCCCTGGTGCGTGCCAGCTCTTGGGCAGGGCCCTACCCTGTTTCCAGCTGGCACTGGCTGTACGTGTCACCTCCGCTGCCTACCCACTGGCCCTTTACCTGCTTCCCCTCTCGCTGTTCTCTCCCTGCTTTGCCCCACCCCCAGCTCCTCCAACACATCCCGCTCCCAGTGCTGTGCAGAAAACCAGCCCCTGGTCAGAGCACTGAGCTCATCAACAGCCTGGCTGGCAGGCTCCTTCCTTTCCCCACAGCCTCTGGTTGGGCTGACGCCCTGGGAAAGCCCAAGATCCTCCTACGTGGGGCACTGGCCAGGAAGAGCCTAGCCCTGCATGTGCCAAAGCATCATGCAGCGCTGGCATGGGGAAGCCTCTCTGCTTCTCAGCTAAGCTCAGGAGTGGCAGGGAATTCCAGCCTGTTCACACCTCAAACCTGCAGGCTCCACAGCAGCCCCCTGGGCAAGGGTGTAGCACCCTCTTCACTTGCCACCCCTCCCCCCAGTCCTGGGTCCTGCCTCCAGGGAACACAGGGCTGCTCCATCCCCTAGGCACCCACTGTTGCTGAGCCACCTCTCTGGCTGGGTTTGCTGAAGTCCCTGCAGTCAGGTTCCCTGGGCCCTGGTGCACAATGCATCCTTGGGGCTTAACCCCTTCCTGCCTGCCCTGTAACCAGGGGACAGGAGGTGGCTGGGTTATGTTGGTGGCTAGCAGCTAGCAGCTAGCAGCCTGGCAGTATTAGCTGCTTTTTGACACTGTGGGCAGAAAGGGACAAGCTGCTTCCAGCCACACAGGAGCAGTGGGCTGGGAGGGAAAGGAGTTCTGCAAAGACACAAGCCAGGTAATCCCTTCCCCTCAACCCTCCCCTACAGCTAGAAGCAGCTCCCATCCCTTCCCTGCTGCACAGTGCCAAAAGGCTGCTGCTGCTGGCCACATTCTGGTGTGAACCCTGGCAGAAGTCTGGGGAGGGGGGCATGTGACCTTGTATGCTTCCTGCTCATGTGTTGCCTCATGAAGACATTGTGCCAAGTACTAAGAGAGGTGGGTCTGCCAGGCAGGGAGGGCAGAGAGTGTTGGGCCGGTTCACTCGGTCATCCCTTGTGAGAGAGGTGTACGGGAGTGCATGTGTGTCTGTCCCCTCCCTGTGTGAGCCCTAAAGCCTTAAAGATAATGAGGTAAATAAAAAGAATCCAACTGCACAGTATTTCTTTTCAACAGGGGCTCAGTCAACTTGATGTTAATTTGAACACTTGTACGACTGATTGCCATTGAGCTCGCTTGAATGTGAGTCTTTTTACCAGGCATCCATATTCAGCTTAGGGAAATACGGTCACCCTACACATGACAGCTCTATGCCACACAGAGATTCCTCAATACCGGCTGGCAAAGCAACCTTGTTGGCACCAGGAATCAGGCCCTTACATTTGTTCTCTATTTGTTGTTGCCATAAAGGTCACCCAGCCTCCAAGTCCATGTGTGCTGTTTGTGCATGGAAAACAAAAGCAAACCAAATACAGTATAAGAAAACAGTAGAACAAGGCTCTCAGATATGGTCTGTCAAAAAGTCTAACAATAGTTCCTGCGATAGGGAGATGACCTGTCATTACTTAGGGATTTTCAGCAGCTGAACATTTGACATCAGGCTGCCACCCACATAGTGCCAAAAATGCCACCAAGAAATCTGCTGTTAAAGTACTAAAACAAGGCTATAAAGCCAGGGCTCAAAAGCGTATGACAGCTGCTCTCCTGTGTCTTCTCTTTCTCTCCTTATCTCTCCCACTAATCACCTCTTAGCTCCTAAGGTATAAGAAACAAACACTGGCAGAGACAAGGTTCAGACACCGTATGCTAAGACCTGTGAAGTCTGCCTTTCCCCAGCGTGTGTCTTGAAAATACCTAGATTAAGACTTTAAAACCGAGTGGAGTTCTTTGTTGTTTCAGGCTTTTGGAAAGTGGTCGTTTTCCCTAATAAACTGAAACATTTTCAAAGAAACAAGAATTTTAGCTGTGTAGCCAGTGTGGATTAGTAAAATTGGAAGTGGCAGTTAAATGAATACCTTAATTATGATGATCTCTCTCTTTTAGCTGGGATAT